GAACAGAACAAAGACGGGAAGTCTTTTCTGTTCCTTCTACAGCACTCTTCAGCACTCCACCAAGAATAATTTGATTTAAATGCAAAGGGAGTAAGAGTGGAATGAGGCTGAGGAAGGAAAAAAGATGACAGAGAGCTCGATAAGAACATGAGAGAGGAAGGTGACTATGATTGGAAGCTGGAAGGGGGCAGAGACGGGTTGAGCAGTGGACCCAGGAAGAGCATAGGTCTGAACTGTTTGGGCAAAGAGGCTGGGAGATGATGATGGTCAGAGAGGCGAGAAGAATGTATGAAAAAAAAACACTAAAGGAAAGAGATTGAGACATCTGATGAGAAATTGAGGTGCAGAACTGAGCCTGACTGTCTGAAGAGAGCGCAGGCCAAGAAAGCGTGAGGAAACAGTGAGGAATCCAAGCAGGGAGACTGGTAAAAAGGGAAGAAGAGAGCACTTTGATACCCAGAGCACCGTGGTTAGTCTGGCACTGGAGACACTGAAAAGGCAAAGAAGAGTGGAAGGAGTGGAAATAAAGAACTAGAGTTTTCATATACTTGAAGGAAGCAACTGTTTAGAGTTTTACTGGTGTTTTTCCTGCCACCGTTTGTTCCTTTTTATGTTTAGCTATTTTGGGAGAAGGGGATTTCTATTTCTATGTAGGTTCCTAAACCACGTTTATCACTATAGCAACTGTTACAAATAGAAGCAGGACTGTTTGCCCTTGGCTGCTCTATATATGATTTTTTTTGTTGGACTGATGCTTTAAAACAAAACTGGTCAATGCTAGAACTACTATGCTGCAGAAGTTTCAAAACATTGTACACAAGTAAACAGAAAATTAACTTGGAACTCACAATTATACTAAGCACATATAAAAAGAAAATTAACTTAGGATGTTCCTTGGTATAAATTAGCTTAGGATTTTACTTGGTATAAATGTTGAGCTGACTTTTATCGTATCTGAGCACAGAATCTGCCTGAAACGAGGTTCCCTCTAAGTCTGGTTTGTACTCAATTGCATTCAGACCTCATTTGTCACCAACATCAAGTTTTTAAACCTTCAGACACTTAAAGCATCATCCCATTTTTACTATCTGAGTGAAATAGCCACACTGGGAATGGCTGTAGGAACTCAAAGCTGTTGCTCACACTGAACGTCTTCGAAGGGTGTTACAGGGTAGGGCTGTACATGAAGCTATTACTGCTAGGAGAAGCAAAGTCACAGAATCACAGAATGTTAGGGATTGGAAGGGACCTCGAAAGATCATCTAGTCCTGCCACTCAGCTGTTGGGAAGTGTCTTGACCTCATGAGAAGCAGATACCTCTGGCAGAATTGTGACTTCTGGAAGAGCAAGAGGCTCTTTGGCATTGCCTTTTGTCTGGGGAGGTTCTTTGCACAAAGCTTCTGCTTCTTGGTTCTAATCCCCACTTTTTTAGGAGCTAGGAGATGTTTGCTTTCACCCAAACCTGGCTTGTCTAAGAGCAGTGACTTGGAGTTCCTAAATGCCACTGGAGTCAGAGTTGAGCAGAAGCCATTTTTCTCACAGAGGGAAGATCTCACCTCAGAGGCAACTTCTGACTTTCATCCATTTGGCAATTAAGGGGAACCATGATGTAAATACAGCTCTTTGTGAGAAGCTTAGCTTCTATTTTCTGTTTAGTTCTGAATTCAGTGGTAAGAGGAGCCTATTCCTGACACAGCAGTAAGAGACTGGTTTGTTCCCAGTCTAGGCAACTGCTTCCTTATTAACAATACACTCAGTGGGAACCAAAAGCCTTCCTCTGGCATAAGCAGCATGATTCTAGAAATATCTTAAATATCTTTGCAACATAAACATTCCTTAGAAGGCTCAGAATCACAGCCACACTTGCCTATCCATTTTCATCACTAAGAGCTTTAGTTGGAATTATAATTCTTCATGATTTACATTTCCTAGCAATTTAGCTTTTGAATGCCCAGGTGAACATTTTATCTTACAAATTCTGCTATCCTGAAAGTGTCAAAATAGGAGGGTAGGAATTGGCTGAAGCTAGTAACCAAGGTGTAGGAAATTTTTTCAATGCTTTTCTTAAAGTAATGGAACTCTTTCTTTCAGCGTGCATCTTCAAAGTTTATTCCAGAGATATCTTTAATAAATATCACTTCAGTTACCACTGCTGTGACACTCACTGATGTTAAAACCTTTAAAATATGGACCCACTTATATTAGAAACTGACACTACATTCACAAACAAAACAAGGGGGGGGTTGTTGGGTCTTTTTTTTTTGTGAACATCACAATAATGTTCTGCGATCCAGAAGACAGATAAACTAGTAACCTTGGTTCCACTTTGAAAACTGCCAGGAAGACAGGAAATCACAAATCCCAGTGTTGGCAGAGAACACTTAATGGTCATTTTGAAAACCAAGTTCCACAGACAAGGAATTGTAGTAGAAAAAGAAACTTGTTTAGGATAAGCAAATACCTTAACTTTTATGGCAAATTCATGAATCTTTGATCACATCTGTGTAAGTGCCTTGGAAATCTCACAAGTGTTAAAATAAAAAGGTTGTCACTTTGAAATACTTAAAAACTAAGACACAGGCTCCTCCTAGTGGTAAAAATGGAAGGAGTGGTCATTTTGTTCTACGAATCTGCTAGCACTGTTTATTATTAACAGTTATTTGCAGTTAGTCTTCCATTTGGTTCTGGAAAGCTTAGAAACCTCTAAGTTCTTAATGCTGCCAAGGAATTCTTACCTAAAGATCAAAAGCAATGGGACGTGACAAAACACGTGCAAATCACTGTAATTATTTTTTTCCTCAAAAATAACGTTTACATACCTATATCGATGCTTAAGAGTGATCCAGTGAAAGGAGAAAGGATGTAAGCCTGCATTCCAAAAGATTTATGCTCTTACAGCAATTTTAAATCCAACCTCCAGATCTGCATTTGGAATCCAGAATCAGCACTGTGTATTTACTAGTGGAAACACTACACGACATGCCTGTGTGTCAGATGAATGTGCTGCATCCCCACAGTTAGCAGAACACCCGCCAAGCCACCATCATCAAGTACATGAAAGATTTTGTACATTTCAAAAATTTCTTCAATTTTGAAGCCAAGTCAGTTGCCCTCACCTGAAGAGCAGAAGCCCAGTGTCCAAGGTGGTTACTGGTTCTTCCATGCCATTGAACATAAGCGCTGTTAACTATTTAGCCACACCTATTCTTTAAAAAAATTCTGTCGACAGGAACAGAGGGCCATTTTTATTATCAAGCCCTTTCAAAGTCTCATTCTGGGCTGAAGTTTCTCAGCAGTCTAGAGTGTACAGCACTTTATGTAATTTATTATTCTAAGTCACAAAAAACCACACTTGCAAAAATACCATTTCTACAGGGGGGGTGGGGAAAGGAGCTGTATATAGTGATTTATTTATTTTAAACTCTAATCTTTCCCTTTTAATTTTAAGTTAACTGATTGGAATATGTTAATAGGCCTGCTAACACCATATTTACAATTTTAAAATTAATATTGTCTACTTAAGTGGGACCCAGTACTGCAGTAAACGGAACATCATTTGTAGACCAAAGTGATTTCAGTCTTAATTGTACTTGTAACATAGTAGTATCAAGAATAGTACAATTGCTAAAAATTCAGATATTGCTGTAAGAAAATCTACAGTCACAGAAGACACAAGAAAGCAAATAAATTAAATACAACACAGGCTAATTTCAGGGTTTGCCAATTTCAGTTTTGCCTTTATATTAGGAAAGGCTTAAAAATCCTTTACTTTTTGCTTCTACTTGCATGTGTGCAAAAAAACCCCAAAACAACAATTTCCAATGTGTCTGTTTTCTCTATTCATGTTTTTCAGACTTTTTTTTAAAGACAAATTAATTACATGGATGTTATGCCAGAAGAAAAAAGCAAAAACAAATTTCAACTGCTTATGTGGAAAGAAATGTAGATTTTCCATTTTTAGTCTTATCTTTTTCATTATTTCATATATGTCTGTGATGTATTTTGTATATAGTTACATTAGTTCCAGAGTAAGTTGCATCAATAGAAAAGCACAGGAGGATGAAAACCAGTTGCTGGTTGAATGACATTTTATTTTCACATTCAGACAGCTGTGCAGTTTCTATAAATAGATGTGGTACTATAATATTTACATCATTTCCTCACCCATTAATAGTGTGTTCCATTCAAAACAGTAGACACCCTGACCAAGCCAGAACAGGGTTATTTCTGGGTGCATTTACTCAGAATTCTGTCAAAACATACAATACATCAGTTTGCATCAGAGCATTTTTTTCCAAGTATTTTACATGTAACATTATTTTCTCTACAGTCTCTCCTCCCAGCATCCTAAGAGCTTTCCAGACAAGTGCAGTACAGTTCAAGAACAAAAACAGGATGCAAAAAACATTCATATTCGGCCTACTTAAAATAAGGAACATGATGGATAGTTTTAACTGTAGGAGTTTCATTACACATTAACACCGTATTTGTAAGATTGCTTGATATACAGGTACAGACTGGAGAAAAGCAATAGTTTAAAAACTTTGGAGACAGCATAATCCTTTGGGCTTCTGGACATGTTCTACAGATTGCTATAGAAATATCTCGTGTATAGTTACAAACCCAAAAAGACATGGGTCTGCTGTGTGCTTCTGCCAATAATGTTTCCAAGTTTTGCATTTCCTTATTAATTTTCTAATCCCTGTGATTAACTGCTTTAGGTAGTGTCTATAGGCATCTGTTAACTCTACTGCTGGGATATCTACAAATGTTACCTAGACTCCCATTTGCAAATCCACACAATCAATGAGGTGTCAGGGTTTTTCACAATATACAGCCTTTAAAGTTTCTTTCTCCACTTCTTTTCCCACTTGAGAAGCAGTCACCTCCACAGATGGACCAATTTAACAGCCAAACTTCAATTGTCACATGATATTTTAAGACTATGGTAGCTAAATCTTTCATCTCTACCAAAAGGGTCTGAAGAACTATGTGACAAGAACTCCATGTTGGTGAGTAAAAATGAACAACACAGAAGGAAAACAATAAAAACACTACATTTAAACAACATGCAGGACCAGACTGCTTCCACTGTGCACATACCAGAGACTCTGAAAGCAGATGCCTGCAGTTGTAAAGTGATTAATCTGTAACAAGTACCACTAGAAACAAAAACCCAACCAAACTCAAGCTGTTTGGCATCTTAAGGAAAAAGGAATTCCAAAGGAATGGCCAGAGTAGGTCACTCACAGCTGGATGCTGATGCTCAACACTGTCTGATTAACAGCTCATATAAAAAGTTCATTAAAGATGAATTCAGAAGGAGACTGAGCAGTGAAGTCTTAGGTTTTTTTATGAGGAAAGACTTGCGGGGTTATACATGAGTAATCAAGTTCTCATAGAAGACAGTAAAGTGGGCTCCAGGAACTGCAGTAAAAATGGGAGTACTGCACGTCAACGTGCCAAAGGGTGGGTGTTTCCCAATATCGTGATCAACTGGAAACTGGTCGAGGTGGTTTGCTTTTGTTTTCTGCCTCTTTTCCACGAATGGCAGCCACATAGGAGAAGAGACACAGCACGGAGTAGCAGATCTCGTGAGCCTACAAGAATTTAGAAAAGAAGATAATGAAATCCAGATTATTTAGCGTTTTACAAAAGCCATTGCACATTTTGTATTTTGCTGCATGTCTTCCTTCATGGAACAACTCCTCTGGCTACACACCGAATCGGGAAAACGTGTCCCATACTACCTTACAACTGAGATGGATTGAGAAGAAAAGCCTTATAACAAATTAAAAAAAAAAACCTCCTTTGGGATAAAAACATTATTTGCTTGATAGGATGATTCTAATAACTTTTAAGAACAGTATGATAAGCTAGAAAGTTGGCCAGCTGGCTTTAGAAAAAACATCCTACATATTTGCTTTTGGTCTGTTCTATGAAGTTACAAGAAATTTTCTGGGAGAGGTTGAAAGAGCTAACTAAAAAAAACCCTAAAACTAAACATCCAGTACTGTACCTTGACTCATGAGATGGTGGGATTCTTCCTTACTCACAACTACCTTTTTATGCTCACAAGTACACGGACTGGTAATCCTTGTCATTTTTAACCAACACATACAAGCTTTTTTTTCTTTTCTCTTTTTTTTTAACTATAAAAGCCCACAACCCAACATTGCATGTTTCATATGAAGAATATCAAGCAATTTTGTCAGTTCCTTAAAGCCCAGGGTTTCACATAGCATTAGCAAGATTTACAATTACTGCTTTTAACTGATTAAGTATGCTATTATTTAACAGAAAATCCTCTTTTAGCACAATTCAGTGAAGGTAAGACTTAGTTTATATCCTGGTTCTAATAAGGGCTGTTCTGGTGATCTTAAAAGTTCTCGTCCTGTAAACTGACATTTATAATCTTTGTAAAGGTAATAAGCATAACCATGTGTTTTGTTGTATTACAGTACAAGTTAAAACACGTAAAAAATAAGTAATTTTCATTAAACTGGCTTTTCTGATTAAAAGATACAGCTATCTGCTTCTTAAATTACATATGCTCTCAGCATTTTGCTTCTAAAACATTTCTAGCTTCTTCAAATAATTTTTCTCTCTCTCCTATTGAAGGACTGCGAGCTTCCATGCAATCACCAAATGTACTCACTGCACTTCAGACATAAAGTAACTGAAGAAATTTCAGTTCTGATGATAATCACTGTCTTCTGTTTCTTCCTCATAAGGGCATAGAAGCCTGATCATTGAACTATGTGTAAAAGTGTTAAGTATTATCAGCTGCTGGTGTTAAATGTTATAAAACTGAACACTAAACCACCTATACTCCAGGAATCAATACTTACACTGTTCTCTTTCATCTCACTACTTGCTATCATGAGGAAATGGGAATTTTTCATAAACTTAGTTAGCAATCATTTTATGCCCAGGAACTAGTCTCCCTTTCCATCTGTTCTGTGGTTTAAGGATTGTGTTCTGCACTGTCTTAAATTCAGCAGTTCCACTAGCTCTTACTGTGCTAAAGTTCATGCCAAACCAGCTACTTTGCATCTGGATCTATCTTAACAAAAGAAACTATGCTTTTTGCACTACCCGTGAGTTCCTCTAGTTTCACAGAAACAACAATCACCAAGTTTTTGGTGATTAAGTAAATGGTGAAATTTAGATGGTTAAGGAAAACTATCCTAAAAGAGCAGCTGGTGTTTCACTGCAGCATCAGCATTGCAAATCCTGCCATCTCCATGTAACTCTTTTTGCCAAATGAAAACGTAAAGATACATCTTCTACAGAACTAACAGGAGGCATCACAGTTGACTCACCATTGGCGTCTTGTACTTGTGGCTCACCACTTCTTTAGTTTCAGGAACTAAAACCGGACGTGCAAGAGACAAAACAAAAAGTTCAAAAAACGAGAGGAAAAGGGGAAAGAAATAGCACAATGTTCCCATAGGAAAGGGAAGGGATGCACACAGACAGCAGGTGCAGCTATAGGGCACCTCACTATCCCTCACACCTAGATACTCTTCCTTCTCTTCATTTACATTTTGTATGTCCTTGAAGATACTGGTAACGTCATAATAAATTACTCAGGTTGGCAAAAATATTTCACTGCCTCTACTGTTGGAAAGCCATAGTAGATATTTGATGGTTCTTAGACACTCCGGCTTTTCTCACACTATTTATTCCTGCTAGACAGCAAAATTAATCACAAAATATGCTTAATGACAAAAATATGTCTAATGTCTACTACAATAAAACATTAACTAACAATTCCATAGGAATCTGTCAGTATGCAATTCCCAAAGATTTTATCCTTTAGATGTTTGAATCCTTCTCTGCTGAAAAACAGATCTCAAAAGAACTGTTGGACACTCTGTAGTAAATTAGTGAAATCTAGGCAAAAAAAAGGGGGGGGGGGGGGGGGGGGGGG